GCTTGATGGTGGTCAAGTCGCTCAAATCAACCTTCACGAAGTGAACATCGATGTCCTTGTCCACCTTCTTGGCATCCTCGATCGCCTGGAGCGTGTTGGCTTCGTTTCTGGAAAAGATGTAGACCTTAGCACCGGTCGCACCCAAGAGCTTGACAACCTCGAATCCCACACCAGAGTTACCTCCAGTGACAATCACCACCTTACCGGCCAAAGACGGGTAGTCCTTTGGCAAGAACGCGGGGGCGGGTGGGCAGAAGTTTCTGGCCAGTTGGGTTATATCCGATAATCCTAAGAGCATATTGTATTGTTAGAGTAATTATGGTTTCAATTCACGAAAACAATAAGGGAGAGGACATTAATGAAGTAGGTGGAAGAGGGTGGCGAGCTAATTTATAGCACTGCGAGAGATGCATGTGCGCGTTTTTCGGAGTGGCAACGCATGAAATTTCGCCGTGATACAGGTTTACCATGTATGCATAGTGACAAAAGCTTGAATATTGTCGTTGGTAAAAACGGAAAATCAGGGTACAAGTGAAATTGCCTAATACCGATAACCCGAGAGTAATTAGGCTATGGAGTAATCCTGCAGGAACTAATATCGACCCAGCTTTAAAAACACTATTGAAAAACGTTGGTGTCACTACCTCACAAGTCTTGCCTAACAAATCATCGGTGCATTATGTTCATACCCCGCTCAGTGCCCCACCACGTAACAAGGATTAAGTCCCATAGTAGGTTTTGAGCCCTTGGCTCATATAGAGATGCGCATAATATTCATATCCACCGATAGGAAGGCCTCATGACAATCAGTGCCCATCATTATTAATCTGAAATTCGGACCCGCCACAATATGGGTATATGCTCTGGTGTCATCCTATACAGCTAGGTGTTGGCAATATACGTCTCCCTAATCGGAAGAAGCGATCTGCTAAAGTAAAGACCATCGAGTACACACGCTGTATGAACTTTGACCATTGGCATAGTCGTTGGATCATCGAAATTTCCCAATCATCTACAACATTGCAGCTAAAAAACAAGATTAACAATATATACAAAAAAGAAATCACGTTACAAATACTTGGCCGTCTCATCTTCCAAGTACTTGTAGAACTTCTCGCCGGTCTCGTTGCCAGCGGACTCGGCAACATCGGCTCTGATTCTACCGAATCTTCCCCACGGAATGATGTACTCACCGTTGTTGGCGGTGGACACGGCTGGCGACAAGGCGGCAAATAACTCAGAGTACGCACCGTTGATAGCAGGGAACAAAGTATACAGTAAGATTTTCTCGGTAAACGAGGACATGTGTCTCTGCAAGTTGGTCTTCAAGTTACCCGGATCGACCGAAATGGTGACAATCTTGGCAGCCTCCTTTGGGTTGTGCTTGGCCCACTGAGCGGCGGCGATCATCATTCCAGCCTTAGAATGTCCGTAGTTGCTCCATTCATCTGCAGTCAAGTCGTTCAAATTGTCCAAGTTGATACCGTGTTTCGGAGAAAGCGCGTGGGCAGAGGACGAAACCCAGACGATTCTGGATTCATTAGCGGTGTTAAACTTCTCTACCGTCTCGTACATCACAGGGGTCAAGAGCTTCTGCAATGCGAACGGACCGATAATGTTAGTCCCTAACTGTAACTCGTAGCCCTGAGCAGAGGTGGAACCCTTTGGTGGAATCATCACACCAGCATTGTGGATCACAAGATCCAATCTGGATTCACGTGCCAAAAACTCCTCGGCAGCAGGCTTGATGGTGGTCAAGTCGCTCAAATCAACCTTCACGAAGTGAACATCGATGTCCTTGTCCACCTTCTTGGCATCCTCGATCGCCTGGAGCGTGCTGGCTTCGCTCCTGGCAAAGATGTAGACCTTAGCACCGGTCGCACCCAAGAGCTTGACAACCTCGAATCCCACACCAGAGTTACCTCCAGTGACAATCACCACCTTATCAGCCAAAGACGGGTAGTCCTTTGGCAAGAGCGCAGGGGCGGGTGGAAAGAAGTTTCTAGCCATTTGGGCATAGTCTAATAATCCTAAAAGCATATTGTATTGGTGTTAGAGTAAGAGTGGGCTTAATTGATGGAAGCAATGAGGAAGAAATTAACGTGAAAGAAGCGGAAGAAGGTGGCGAGCTAATTTATAGCACTGTGAGAGATGCATATGCGCGTTTTTCAGGGGGGTGTATGAAATTTCGTCGCGAACAAGGCTTGCTCTATATGCACGTGACAAAAGTCTAATAGTAATAGGAACAGGAGAACTTAGGATGTAAGTAAAGCAGAGTAATTCTGGTAGTCCGATAAGTACTTAGTTGCAAAGCAGTCCTGCAGAACCTATTATCTACAGTCTTAAAAACGCTTTTAGCAATACACTACTGATACCGTATATCGTCAGGCTCGCTCCACAAATCATCGATGTATTATGTGTATACCCTGCTCGATGCCTCACTAAGTAACGAGGATTGAGATCAGGGTTGGGTCTTGGCCGTCTTGGCCGCCTAGGCCCTATCTAAACGTTCCACCAACCTCCGTTGCCTACACCATTACAAAGAACCAAATAAATAATATATATAGAAAAGAAATCACGTTACAAATACTTGGCCGTCTCATCTTCCAAGCACTTGTAGAACTTCTCGCCGATCTCGTCGCTTGCAGACTCGGCAACATCGGCTCTGCTTCTGCCAAACCTTCCCCACGGAATGATGTACTCACCGTTGTTGGCGGTGGACACGGCTGGCGACAAGGCGGCAAATAACTCAGAGTACGCACCGTTGATAGCAAGGAACAAGGTGTACGGCGGGGTTTTCTAAGCAAACAAGGAAGTGGAGCTCTTTGGCAGGCTCAACACATTTGAACTGCGAATTACAAGATACAATTTAGATTCTTGCGGCAAAAAAGTCTTTGAGGAAAGCCTGACGGCGGCCAAGTCGCTCAAATCAATCTTCACAAAGTGAACATCGATGCCCTTGTTCGCCTTCTTGGCATCCTCGATCGCCTGGAGCGTGCTGGCTTCGTTACTGGCAAAGATGTAGATCTTGGAACTGGCTGCACCCAAGAGCTTGACAATCTTGAAACCCACACTAGAGGTATCACCGATAATAATCACCACCTTACCGACCAAAGACGGGTAGTCTGTTGGTAAGAGCGAGAGTCAGAAATTTCGGGCTATCTCGGTCCAATCTGACAACCCCAAGAGCATTTTATATTAGTCCAACAGGGATAGTTTCAATTCACGGAACCGATAGCGAAGAAGAAGTTAATGGAGCCGGTGGAAGATAGTGGCGAGCTAGTTAAAGCGGCTAAGGGCGGAGTTCAAGGTGTATATCGTATTCCTGTTATACCCAAATGTTAATTTCCACCCGTTTATGAGGAGCCTACGTCAATAAACAAGAACCAGGTAATTTTCACAGGCAACCTGATATTTGTTTAATAACGCACCAGCCTTCATTCTCTGTCACATAAACTCCGAGGCAACTGCTTCCTTTTGCAAACTCAAAGCGCGGTAATACGTTTCATTTAACTCGTTTGGGACAATCTAGAGGTTTGAATCCTCTCTGGATTGCTTGGCAATCATAAGGGATGGTAAACTCTTGACGCCTGCGACGCCACTACCTCTAAGCCAAGAAAATAACCGAAAGGAGTGCAATATCTTGTCGTCAAGCCCAGAGGTACATTTGAGTTGTTATTATCACTGGGTTCACACTATAGTGTTTCGCACCTTACATCGAGGGTGCAAGAGATAGTTCATGTAAAATCAACACTCGTTCCCCGAGACTCTGAATGTGTAATTTTTTTCATGTATCTTTAGCCCTGAATGCTATCCGGGTTTCCGTCTTACTAGCTAGTGCTCATATCGCAACAAAATAACGCGAGTCACATTGATTGAATATCCTTATAGTTCCATCCATTATAATTAGACAGTTTGGCAGGCTCTGCTTCTCTGATGGTAACGCTAGAGGCTTATCTAACTAGGGCTTTAAGTTGAGTTACCAATCGGGTATTCCAGCTTCTCTGATTGGTTTGTGCAAATGGCCCGATCCTTATCAGCTGACCGTATAAGAGTCACTCACTTTTACTATCTAGGCATCATTTTAACCGACCTCCCGCTTAACTAAAAAGTCAATCCCTCAGTATATGTCATTCCAAACAGTGAATATAGCCATATACTACGCTGGTAGATAAATCATAGGCCAGTTCCCACGTCCTCCCATCTGCGCCCTCAATAGGCAAACCTGTACACTACGGGATACATCTTCTCGATTGGGCCTTGACCTGAGGCCAAGCCCGTGGTTCAACGGGATTTCCCCTGGCAGTCCCTAGGATTTATCGGACACAATAAAAAAAAAAGCTTTCCGTATTCTCAACCCTTCTCAGTCTCTGCCACCTGATAGCAAAGGTTAGAAAGCAGTTCCTAGGGCACCTGTCCTCCCAATATTCCGGATAGAGGTCATGCAGAATGCCACCTGAGTATAGGCCATTGTCGATGCGCTGAACAATGGGGCCTTACTTTGCATACCGTCAAGAAACGACACTTGAGTGCCATCTTTGAGAGTGTCTAATTTCATGCAGGCGTTAATAGTTGCAGGGGACAGGTACGTATTGTGCGTTCATGTACACGGCGGTGCATATCTATGAATCAATTTTAGGCGTGTAGACATTATGAAAGCAGAATCACCAGCTACTAATACTATACTAAAATTGTTGCGCCGTCAAATTTCTCTTCGTCTGGCGTTATAATCAAGGACCCAGGGGTATAGTCTTGACGAATAGACCCTGGTCGCACATTCTATTTTAGATAAAGCTAAACTAGTCTCACAGCCGCATATGTATTCTTCATTGGGAAGGATCCGTGAATCAGGATAACCAATCTGTTACCGAGAAGAAATGGTATCTTGTCCTGTTCTGAATTAAAGGTATGGCCTGATATCTTCAGGCGTGCTGTTCGACTAACTGTTATCTAAAATGGCCGTATTTGGTTTACCATACTATAAATCAAGAATCCTCGTGTATGGTTCCCTAATCTAGTCCTGGATCCATCTCCAGCATTTAAATGGGAGATTTTCGATTTGTAGATTCCCAGTACTGGCAGTTATCAAGTGATACGCCCTTGAATCCAGTGTGTAATTTCGGCAGTGATCTCGGTATGCTCAAGATATCTGGTTATTCCGCCTGATGGTAAATCCCGCATGTCCTGTTTTAATCTCTTTCCCCTTTGTCTGGAAATGTGAATGGTTCTCTATTCTAAATCCATTGAATTTGGGGGACTTGAATATTTTTAATTTTTGAGGCTATTTGAGGGAATCCCAAATTAAAACCATATAGAATTGTAGTATCTAAACCATCCTACAGCGACCTCAGACTAAAGGAACGGTGTTAAGCTATGAAATTTGTCTATGGAATACATCCTCTTAGCATTTTATACCAAGGTTAGATATTGATACCAAAGAAATCGCCCAAGTCTTGAGTACGAGCCGTATGCCATGACGTTCATTATGACATGTATCTAAAAACTGTTTTATCCGACAAATGTTATGTTTCAACAAGAAGTGCTAATGGGGGTGCGCATTAGATGAAAATGGGGATTTAATAGCCAATAAGGGGGGTTTAGAATGAAGCTACTAATAAGGAAAATCACATCCCTGGTTACCCCAACGCTATAATATACGAAATTGTTTCTTAATCCGTTCTCATTCCCCTCAATTCCATGAAGAGTTTCAAATAACAGAACTGGAAGAATAGTACCTGACATTAAGATCAAAAGTTTGGGAAGAGACCAAATCAGGGAACTAGAGGCGTCATTGAAGCACATTAGCACGTAACATACCAACCCACACTGTTTATCAACTTTGGCCAGAACCAAAGATTTACCCACAATAATCTTCAATAAGCTCTATGAAACTGATTTATTGCGAGATAGTCCATATCATGTCAGACTCCTGTGCATTTCGGTTGCGTTTATGAATAGTTTTCACTTCCGTCCTGGCTGTTATCTACATACCTCAAAATAAAATTCAGCCATACCCCTTCATACATATCTCTATTATTGAGATAATTCCCAAACTTACGTTTGCCATGCGTTGGGAATTTTGGTGAGCCCACCAACGTCTATCAAGACACCAGTCAATTAACCTTCTCGATGTACTTCCTGCTTTGACAGTTTCTAGGTAGGCCATTTACGATAGATATCGAGCAATCCTGAGACAGATCGAAGGAAATACCAAGATAGCATTAGAGTTTCTCCAATTTCCAAAAGCCAAAAGAGAAACAAGACTATCAGATATTAGATTTCGATGTGAAAATCCCCTAGAGAACCTCTGACTGATGGGAAAGAACCAGTTCATCGATTGGCACTACCCTCTTCATATGTTGCTATTAATTTCCCTCCTGATGAAACAAATACGAAAAGACACCCATTTATATACTCTAAGTGATCCCTTAAATCCTTCCACAAGTACTGCCTCATCAGATGAATACACCGTTTGGAGGCATATAATATTCAGGATTCCACGCTAGCGACAGGTTCTAGAACTGGCGCTATATAGACGCTACCCATATCCAGGGCCAGGGTTATGGTTCTAAGAGTGTCCCCTCATTAAAGGAAGCTTCTCTTCGTACGCTCTATGATATGAATACCTGGTCTATAAAACACCTGTTCTCTATATAGTAGTAAAACACCTATACCGTCTTTACCGCCCTTCGATGGGCTCTATATACAATAAGACGGATCATCTATGCGCATCTAAGCCTTACTCTTCGAAACGTGGTAGTGCTTTAAGACAGCATCACTCACTGTAGCAGGACTCCCGACGACAGCATCTCCGCCAGCCATGGTCTTAGGGAAGGCGACAACATCGCGGATGCTCGAACTACCAATCAACATGGCACACATACGGTCGAACCCGATGGCCAAACCGGCATGCGGGGGACAGCCGAGCGACAACGCATGCAACAAGTGTCCAAAAAGGCGGTCGGGGTTTTCTATGCGGAGGATTTCCTGGAAGATGTAGCGCTGGAGTTCCGAGTCGTGGACTCTGCGGGACCCGCCGCCCAACTCAACCCCGTTGACAACCAAGTCGTAGTGCTCGCCGCGTACGCGGAGCGGATCCGTCGCGAGAAGGCTATAGTCATCGGGGTGGGCCATAGTGAAAGGGTGGTGGGTAGAGCAGAACTGATCGTAGAGGTATGCGGGGTAGCCATTTGTGACGTCGCCATCGATGGGACTGAAGAGCGGGAAGTTCACCACCCAGCAGGCCACAAAAATTTCCAGGTGTGAGACTTTATCGGACTCGTTCCCAATTGCAGGTAGGTCGTCGCGTGCCACTATTTCACGCTGCCACTTTTCCGGGTATGCGGCAATAGCAATCTGCCTAAACCTCCCAAGCGGTGTAGGGTTTTCGTAGCTCACCTCAGCCCTTGTGCTCCCCGCAATGATATCACCTGGCTGCAACCGCAACTTTTCGTGCAACTCTGCTATCATCTCCGGCTTAAACTCCACTATTTCACTAAACGCAGAGGTCCACGACGTGGCATCGGTTGCACTCTTGATCGGAATCACACGTGGTTGACGCGCCTTGTACTGCAAAGGATCGTTCAACGTCTTGTCAAAAACACACTTCTGACTGGCATCAAAAGCCTGGCGCAACACACAAACCTCGAAGACGGTGAACTCTTCAGGGACATTTTTAACCGTGGCGTAGCGGGACAAGTTATCAAAGGTGAGACTCGAGCGCAAGTCGGGCTTGTCGATCCCATACTTTGCCAAGGCGTCGTTGTAGGTTAATTGGGGGAAGGGTGTACCCTCCTGATGGGCGGTCATTTGGAAGTCGCCCACAGGTACGTAGAAGCGTAACGCGCGTACGTCACGCCACACACGCGCCACGAGTTTTTCGACCGCGCGTTGCACGTCGTGTGCACCCGCGAACGCCATCTCCAAGTCGATTTGTGTGAACTCTGGCTGTCTGTCCGCGCGCAAGTCCTCGTCGCGGAAACATTTGGCTATCTGGAAGTACCGGTGGACCCCGCTCGCCATAAGAAGCTGTTTGTACTGCTGTGGCGATTGGGGGAGCGCGTAGAACTGATCGTGCTTGCGCGTGGGCACGAGGAACTCACGCGCTCCCTCAGGTGTGGACTTGAATAAGAGCGGAGTCTCTACCTCCGTAAACCCATGCGCGGTCAACTCCGCGCGTGCAGCATATGACGCGGCTGCGCGTGCCTTGAGCGCGCGCTGGTAGAACGGGAGCCGGAGCTGGAGGTAGCGGTACTGCGGCGGGATGAGTTCCGGCTTGCCGCGGCACGAGTCCAACTGCGCAGCTGTCTCGGCCGCACGGTTAAGTGTCTGATAGCCCGTCACCACCAAGTCCCAAGAAGAGCCCTCAGTGCTCTCGGACAGCTTCGCGCGCCGCCTCTGGACGGTCCCGGTAATGCACACTGCATCCTCCATGCGTGTTTCGCGGCGCAACTGGGCCACCACCGCGTTGTTTTTGCACAAAAACTGGTTAAGTTCACCGTTGATGTCTCTAATTTCGCCGAAAACCAAGTTTTTAGAGATCTTGAGCGGCTTCTTGTCAATCCAGCCATGCAACGTGACGGACTGCTGTGACGCGAGCAATGCCGCGAGCTGTGTCGACACCTGGGCGACCGTGTGGGTCTGCGCCGGAAACGTAACTGGATGATTAGTAACGAAAAACGGAGGATTGGCGATTGGGAGACTTACACTTCGGGAGGGTTTCTGCACTCAGTGGTAAGGGTATAGTGGGTTTGAAGAAGGTGGGTCTGGAAGAGAGAGGCCTGACCGCGTGCACCTCTACGGTGCGTGTAATGGCCGCTCGAAACAGAAATCTCACCGATAGCATATTAGGAGCACGCGATGGAAGTGAGTGAGACGTGGAGCAACAGAAGGATGGAGATTGATCTGGCGTGACTGAAAAAAAAAAGGTTTTGCGTGCGTGCATAGAAAGAAACAGAACGCGGTGAGCAGCGATTGCAGGATATATCACGGCTGTCAAGGCTTGGTGAAATATAGGAATATCACTGCAATAAAGCACTCTAAAGTGAGGGAATCTTGGGAGAGGAGAAAAAGGGAGGGAAAGGGTAATTGAGCAAGAGAAGAGATCAGATTTTTACCTTTTATATCGGAAGGTTCGGCGACGGTAGCAAAACGAGACGTTTGACATACTATGACATTTGTAGCATAATAATTATCACAGTGATTTATAATACTTGCCACAGAGATTTATCTACCATTGCGTATAGGTGTTGGTATCTGAACCTGTCTGCATTAGCACATAGAGAATGAGGTAAATACGCGGTTTTCTCGGGTGAATTCGTAGACTATTGTAATCTTTGCTATATACATTCAATATACAAGCACAACGCCAAACAGAGTTCTACATTCGTCTCAGCGGTATGTAAGGGGGAATTTTACTATTAAAGACGTTGTAGAGCCAACTAGCTCTAGAGGGCATGGAAAGACCGCAGTTATGTATGCAAGTACAGGCCCTGGACATGCTGCGTATTTACTGTCAAGCCAGGTGTTCGCTGTCAAGTCAGGTATCCAGAGTTTCAACCAGATACACTTCACATGAAAGTATCCATCCTTGAAAAATTTTAGCAGATGCCATCACGTTCTAGTATCCGGGAGAGTCAAAAGTGACTTTCGTGCCAGAGACATCGTGTAGCAACCAACCCAGACACTCACCATTAAAACTTTATAGACAGTAAAATATTAAATGGCATGAGGATAACTAGGGACTGTATATACAAGGTGTGAAGATGACCGGTACATGTTAATACATGGCGTCACGAGAACAACGGTAATAACTGGCCTCTGGATGACTATCGTAAACATATTAAAATGAAGAAATAGCACCGTATGACGAATAAATACCAATATATGATATCAAACACGGCACTCGGTCGAGAAACCTCACTTCGTCCCCTCCACAAGATCCCACACGTGTACATCACCCTTAAGCGAGCAGCTTATTAACACTGTGCCCTGATCCCAAACATCCACCTCCAACACAGGGGAGGATCCCGTATTCAACAACCCCACTATGACCTTACTCTGCATGTCCCAGAGATGGATCTGGCCATCCTCGGCACCAGAAACCACCATGGGACGCATCAGCAGTGTGACGAAACGCGTGCCACAGTTGTATTTCTCAAAGAGCGGTCGCAGGCCGCGGTACGTCTTGGCAACCTTGTTGTGCGTGTAGTCCCATAAGCGCACACAGCCGTCAAAGGTGCTGGCAAGCACGTAGCGGCCGTTGGGAGAGAAGCGGACGTAGCTCGCAGGGAACGAACTGTCGCCACGGTCGTAAATAAGCGTCTTCAAGCACTGGCCCAGGTCCGCGTCGAAAAGACGGATCATGCCGTCGTACGAAGAGCTCGCAATGATGGTACCGTCCCAACTCATGTCAATGCTGGAGATCGCCTCGGAATGTGCCGAGAGCGTCTTGAGACACTTACCGCGTGCAATATCCCAGATGCGAATCGCCTCGTCCGCGGAGCCCGAGATGAGCAAGTTTCCACGCGGGTTGAACAGGAGACATGTTACATGGTACGTATGGCCACGGAGCACCTTGAGACACGTGCCGTGCTCGACGCGCCAGAGGCGGATGGTCATGTCGTCCGCGCACGATGCGAGATGCGCAGAATCGGGCGCCCAGCAGAGGTCCGAGACACCGCGCGTGTGGCCCACGAGCGCGCGTACAAGCCGGCCGTGGCGTGCATCATAGATGCGCACGAGTTTGTCCGCGGATGCTACCGCGAACATGTGCCCGTCGGGGCTGAGCTTTGCAATGGAGGCGGAGGGGACGGAGATACTATATCGGAGTCCATAAGGAGTTTTCTCTGAGGAAGTATCCATATGATCCACTGTAGGGGCTTCACTGGAATTCACTTCGTCCCCGGAAATATTCACTGCCTTCTCCAGAGAACCCACGGACTCTTTAGTACCATTCGGAACAGAAATCGTGGTGGGAATCGCCAAAACGGACATTGTACCGTCTTGCTCTGTGGTTCTAGATAGTTTTCAACTCGATGTGCGGATAAAGAGCGAATGCGAATATTGGGACTGGAATTGCCTTCTGTAAAAGCTTTGGTGTGGCTGATGAAGTGTATCTAAACACAGTGGTCACCAGAGACGAGAAGCGACAGGGGTCTGATCGGTGGTTCTGGTTCAGCGGTCGTTATACCGTGGAATTGTTTCGATCACAGTGACGTTTAGTTTTAAACGGAGGTGTATCAATAGCCTTCTATTATCGTCCACAAAAGCCGCCGTGCAAGCCATTTGATTACTTGCCGAATCTTATCAGCAAAACATTAACCCCAAAATTCTCAAGGGAGTGCGCGCACCAGCCAGCGCCACTGACCTTCCTCATATATATCTGTAGCATGCGAATAGAATAAGGCCACTATCTCAAACCCGTCCTAACTAAAATTTACCCAATGGTACGTATATTCCATGTTTTCCCGACATGTATGAGATGAATAATTTGGATTACAAAGCAGAAGGCTGGATAAAGCCACCGATTGAGCTTGTTTAGTTCCATGCATCACTACACCGTTGCACTTCATTGCACCCTATTTTGCTTTCCTTCCGTGCCACATCTCTGATCCGTACCGCTTCACCTACTAACCGACTATCCAGTCTTTGAGAATCATCCCAGAAAATAACCAGCACGCACAGGTCGACTCCGTGCGCTTCGGTGACGCCGCGCCGTCTGCGCCAGCGTTGCAAGATATCCTTAGGGCCGAACAGGGCCCATTGTCCATTGCATCCCAGCTCAACAATAGACACCCTTTGGAGGCGAGAATCGCCAATTGGGAAAAGACCCAGCACGACGCCAAGTTGGAGCAGTATAGACGGATTTTCGGTGCCGGTGAGCCGATAAAGCGCACCATGGAGTTGCAAATCGTTGAAAACACAGACTTCAAGCCGCAGTTATTGGGTGGCTCCTCCAATCTCCACAGGGATATCCTCTTGGGCAAAGACACCTCCATCGACTGGGAGGACGTCTACACCGGTATGTTTATTCTTTTTACACCCCTACTCGGTACTAACACATACAGGGAGCGAGTTCAGCAACATTGGGGGGTTCCACACCGAGATGGAGAGAAAGGTGGGTATCTAAGTATAATACACGGATTTGACGAGGAAGGTGTAAGCAGGATGGAGAACAGATTTGGATACCAGATCTGTATTGATATAGACTGACTCTGTAGAAACAATCCTGGTATGCTCATCAGTTACACTTGTTTTGGTTTAGCTTATGAGGACATTGGGAGAAGTTAAAAGTCTGAATTATGCGACTAACTTATGTGAAAACTAATTGGGTCAATAAACTCCGTGTTGCTGAACCTCGCGGTGAAAAGAACCTTCGCCAGGTG